CCCCTTACTCTCCACAATCTAATGGAATTGCGGAGAGAAAGAATCGAACGTTGAAAGAGATGATGAATGCGTTGTTGATAAGTTCTGGTTTACCACAGAACTTGTGGGGGGAAGCTATACTTACAGCTAACCGAATAATCAACCGTGTACCTCATAGTAAAACACAGTCCATTCCTTATGAAAAATGGAAAGGAAGGAAGCCCAGCTTGAAATACTTCAAAGTGTGGGGGTGTTTAGCTAAGGTACAAGTTCCTAAACCTAAAAGGGTTAAGATAGGTCCAAAAACGGTTGATTGTGTATTTATTGGATATGTAACCAATAGCAAGGCATATCGTTTTCTGGTTCATAAGTCAGAAAATCCTGAGATTCACGTTAATACGATAATAGAATCAGATAATGCTGAATTCTTTGAAACTATTTATCCGTATAAAAAGGAAAGTGAAGTGACCTACCAAAAGTCAAAACGACCTCGGGAGGAAATAACAGATGGTATGCCTAATGAGGAAAATCCGAGAAGAAGTAAACGTCAACGGACATCTACTTCATTCGGTCCAGATTTTCTGACTTTCCTGCTAGAAAATGAGCCTCGTACCTTCAAGGAAGCAATGTCTTCCTCAGAAGCACAATATTGGAAAGAAGCTGTCAATAGTGAAATAGAATCCATATTGAGCAACCATACCTGGGAATTGGTTGATCTTCCTCCAGGTAACAAAACATTGGGTTCTAAATGGATTTTCAAGAAGAAAATGAAAGACGATGGTACTATTGACAAATACAAGGCAAGACTTGTTGTCAAAGGATTTAGACAGCGAGAAGGTCTTGACTATTTTGACACATACTCGCCGGTAACAAGAATTACATCCATTCGGATGCTAATAGCGTTAGCCGCCTTGTATGGTCTTCAAATCCATCAAATGGATGTAAAAACAGCCTTCTTAAATGGTGATCTAGAGGAAGAAATTTACATGAACCAACCTGAAGGGTTTGTGGTTCCGGGAAAAGAAAAGAAGGTGTGTCGACTTGTTAAGTCCCTTTATGGACTAAAACAAGCACCCAAGCAATGGCATGCGAAATTTGACCAAACAATGTTGTCAAATGGCTTTAAGATTAATGAATGTGATAAATGTGTTTACATTAAGAACGTTCCAAATCATATAGTCATTGTTTGCTTATATGTTGATGATATGCTAATAATGAGCAAAGACATTGCCGACATTCAAGCTACTAAGCGTATGCTTGCTAGTAAGTTTGATATGAAAGACTTAGGAGTTGCCGATGTAATTCTAGGAATTAAAATCCAGAGGACTCCTCAGGGTCTAGCTTTGTCTCAATCACATTACGTGAAAATGGTACTTGAAAAATTCAAACACTTGGAATTTAGAAGTGCAAGAACTCCAATTGACTTAAATCATCATCTTATAAAGAATAAAGGTGAAAGTACGTCTCAATTGGAGTATGCTCGTGTGTTGGGAAGCTTAATGTACATCATGAACTGTACACGACCTGATATAGCTTGTGCAATAAGTAAACTTAGTCGATTCACAAGTAATCCAAACAAACATCACTGGGTGGCAATGAAACGAGTTCTGGGATATTTGGAATATACCCAAGACTACGCTTTGCACTACAATAAATATCCTGCGGTTATCGAAGGATATAGTGATGCAAATTGGATAACCGGCTCAACAGAAACAAAGTCCACAAGTGAATATATTTTTACTGTTGGTGGAGGAGCAGTATCTTGGAAGTCTTCCAAACAAACGTGCATCGCTCGCTCTACAATGGAATCAGAGTTTATAGCTTTGGATAAAGCCGGTGAAGAAGCTGAATGGCTTCGAAATTTCTTAGAAGACATTCCGTTCTGGCCAAAACCTTTGGCTCCTATTTGCATACATTGCGATAGTGAGGCTGCAATAGGACGGGCAGGGAGCGTTATGTATAACGGAAAGTCTCGTCATATACGACGAAGACATAACACCGTTAGACAACTACTTTCTAGTGGAATTATCACTATTGATTATGTAAGATCAAAGGATAATGTGGCGGATCCGCTTACAAAAGGCTTAACTAGAGAGGGAGTTGAGAAATCATCTAAGGGAATGGGACTATGGCCGAGGACAAGTCAACATGGCTGTAACTCTACCTAGAAGTTTGGATGTTCCGAGATCTAGGTTCAAGGAGCTCAAAAAAAGTTGTGATTGACCGGTTCAACATTGTCAAAGTAAAATCTTTGGTCCCTTCTCGTGATGAAGACAATGTTCAGTAACAAGGATAGAACTTTACACGTTCTTTAATGAGTACCTAAGTTTGATGAGGTATTTATCAAATAGTGTCAATCTAAAGGAGTACACATTTAGGAATCACCTATGTAAGTGTGAAGTGGAAGCCGCTTCAATGAGAATTCTGTAAGGCCAATTCTCTACGCACTTATGAAACCAGGCGGTGTTCATGGCTAAAACGAACACAACAATGAGAACCAAAAGACGGTTAAGGGTTGGTTGTGTGACATATGGTTGTCTAGGTATACACTAAAGTTCGACGGTTCAAAGATATCAAATCTACCGATTGACCGAGTATATCCGACATATGTTCACTACGGAAAGTTCAAAGGGAAACCTACTTATCCAGATGCAATTAATCCTTACTTGCAAAATCACATAGCTTTCATCTATGATCTTTCTTGATACAGCCATTCCCATTCATGTGGGGGATTGTTAGACTTTAAGCCATTGGGCTTTAAAGTAGAAGAAGCGTGAATTGGAAATGGAGGGAAATTGAAAATTTGAAAAAGTGAACTTTTGTCTTGCACTTTGTCCCTCATTGGTGAGGGACAACCACATTTGTGTGCTTATATATAGAATCACTTCTTAAAGCTCTTAAAAGGAGTTGAAGAGAATGAACCCTCGCGCCGTCGTCGTCGCTCGCTCGGCTCGGCTTTGGCTTTGGATTTGGATTTGGATTTGGATTTGTCAAATGATCGATCGATAAGATTATTTTTGGACAAAATTTATTTAATTATTTAATAATTAATTAAATGCCAAATCACTGCTGAAAATACGCCAGAACCTTGCTGAACCTTGCTCGGCAGGCAGGTTCCTTCTGATAATTGCCTATAAATTGTGAGGCAAGGCTCCATTTTCTACACACAAAAAACACTCCACCTTGCTGAAGGTTCAGAGGGCCTCTCTGGCCGCGGTTCTGCCGCGACCGCGGTAGAACCGCGGCAGGCAGGTTCCTTCTGATAATTGCCTATAAATTCTGAGGCAAGACTCCACTTTCTACACACGAAAAACACTCCAGAACTTCTTTCTTTCTGAATATACTGCATTCTAATTCGCAGTCTCTCTCTCAAATTCGTAAGTGTGATTTTGCTCCGTTCTTTAAGTTCGTTGGTATCCTGCAGTTTGTATTGCCACTGTTGCAGGAAGGTTTATTCCGTTTTATCCTGGGAAGATTTAATCCATTACCTTGGCAACGTGTGAGGGGGTTAAAATTCCTTAAGGACACACAAGCAAATTGTGGACTCGGAATATTTCTTAAACTCTTCTGTTTTTCCAGTTTCTTTTATTTTTCTAACAGTTTTTTTCTGAATTTGTGTTTTAACACAGTAGCGCTTACAAGAAGTTCATGTCGGATACATAATTTGAATTTTATAAGTATGAGTTCGAACCTCTACCCAGTTAAATTGGTTTACCATAACATACACTAGAAATATGTGCTCTACGTCCGTCCCCTGCATCCCTGCATGACATATGCATCTACATGACAGAACAAGCATTAGGATTTTCATCACTGAACCACTGAGGGGCATATACATAGTGAACAAAATATGAAACTTCACCCTCTTTATTTTTTGCTTCTACTTTCTTCACTTCATTAAGTTCAACAATTTTTTCTGTGGTTTTCACTTCGACTGTTACTTTTTCCTTCTTTTCCTCCTCTTTCTTCTTTATAATTTCTACGTGTTTGCGGAAATTTTTTCGCACATATGTCACAACTTTTTCTGACTCAAGGACTGTCTCAACTGTTAGAGTTTGAGCTTTGAAGTCTGTTTTCACGTTATGAATACCTGCACACACAAAAAACATATATAGAAATTGAAATTCTTGAAATAAAATATCTCTGATAAAACTCAAGATCTTGGTGGACTATGCATAGATTTTTACCTTTGTGTTTGAGTAGCCTCTTCTTTAGGTCAAGTTCACACTTGTTGCAATGCATGTAAACTTTCAATGTTGATGTCTTAATACTTTCCTTCAAGATCCAACAAAATTAAGTCAATTAAGGATCAATTCCTAGTTAAATAAATAATGCTTCTTATTGTACAAAATAATCATCTAATTTGTTTTTCATGAATTATTGCATTATGAAGAAAATGAGAATAAGCGTGTGTGGTATGGTGAAAGTCATTTTTTATGAGAAAGTTATTTCTGGTGTTTCGTTACCATAAAATGTTTTCCATAGAAATCATTTGCCATCGCAAGGGAGAAGTCATTTGCCTCCCTTGTCGCATATATACATGCTTTGGCAAACAAGGTAGCAGATGTGTTGGCTCGCTTTGGAAGATCAAGGACCATGTTTTGGACTTGAAATAAATATACTATTTTTGACATTTAATTCCTCCTCTTCATGATTTGTTTACTTTCTGAACGGACCTCTATGCACTACCCGACATTAGGCAATTTTTGACCAATAATTCCGGTCGAAAAAATATTGTCAGAGTTTCGACGCCATTTCGACCACCATGGTTGGACACTTGCTCACATTTAATTTGCCTTTTTTCTTTTCTTTTTAAGAAATATGCGACCACCTTTGCGACAAAAGTAGTCAGAAATATCCGCGTGAGAAAAGTCAACTTTTTTCTTTGACCAAAAATTAAGGTTACCGAAGTCATTGGACTTTGATTTTTTTGAGATCTGACTTATTAACTGCGCTACTTGACCAACCGAATCGGTTGGTCAATTTTAAAATACAAATTCTATTTTATTTTGTGAACTCCAATTCTGTTCTATTTCATTCTCCCTCTTTCCCTTCTCAATCTCTCTCCTCTCTCTCTCTCTCTTTTCTCTCTACTTACTAAAATTTCAAGCGACAAATAGCAGATGGCAACAAGTGGCAACAGAGCTCTCTTTGGATTAGTCTCTCTCTATCTATCTCGGAAAAAATATTTAATATAAATCTTTGCAACCTCTTTACAATTCTCACAAATCTCCACATAAAATAAGCTATCAATATTCCTATTTATAATAGTATGAAACATATTTCAACTAGAAACAGGAAGGCTATTACTGTATTTATTCTAACTACAAATCCTATTTAGACATGAATTAACTAAATCAAAATCCTAAATAATTAAGGTATCCTACTACAACTTTGAGTTAATTAATTTTCCAACAATCTCACTTTCTTTCTCTTTCTCTCTCGTCCATCTTCAATGGGGAAGAGCTAGCTTTGTTTTTTTTACCTTACCTTTAGTTTTTTGTGTCTTTTTTAGTTACAGGCGGCGATGACACTCAGGAGGAACTTGGCAGATTTTCATCGGACTCCGGCCGCAACAACGACAATGAGGTAAGCACTTTTTTTTTCCTCTTTATTTGTTTTAGTACCTAATTCGACTTTCTTGCTAAAATTTCTATTTTCTATTTAGCTTTAAAGAGCATCTAATTTTATTTTTCTTTATTTGTTTTTAGCACCTAATCTAGTTTAATGGTTAGTGTCTCTCTGGGAAGCATCTTAGGTAGTGTATTTTTGAAAGGTTTGATATACCATGAGAAGCCAACCCTCCATAGCTCTGGCTCTCTTTCCTTAGCCGGAGCTTTGCCCTTTAGTTTGCTAGATTAAAATGAATTATGTGAATTAGATAATTCATTAGCCATATTTGGAATTTATGCACATACATGCATAATTAGATTTAACTAGTATAATTAGAGACATATTTAAGGATAAATATGAAACTTTGAGTGTCAGATAATTTTAATTTGAAAGAACATAATATATTATTAAAGTGTTTGGCATAATGCTAAATAAATATCAAAATAAAAACTTTTAAAAGAACTTAACTTATTTATTTAAGTGTGTGACATAATGCTATCTAAAACTTTTATGTAAACTTTTAAGGCTGCCAACTTTTAATATACGAACATTCAAAAGAATTTAACTTATTCATTAATATATTTGGTATAATACTATGTAAATTTTCAAAACATGAACCTTTAAAAGAATTGAACTTATCTATTATAATGATAAGCAAATTTCAAAAAGGAACCTTTGAAAGTATATAACTTTTTAATCAGATTAAACAAAATAAATTACTTTAAATATCTTAATTTTTAGTTTTCTTCTTTGTGTAGATGGAACGTGTGCATCGTAGATTGATGTATAATAGGAATCATTCTAATCGTGCGGGAATAAAAGATAAATTTACAGCAGAGGTCGTTGGATTTATTGCTAAGACAAAAACACTTGATGATTTTCTTATTGAAGGGACGGTTAAGTGTACTTGTATGAAATACAAGTGTGTCAAGTTATTAAGAACAGAAGATATTAAAGGTTATATTTATAAGAAGGGATTTATGAAAATTATTATGTATGAATTGTTCATGGAGAAAATAATGCTAGTGTTGATGATGATTTTTAAAAAAAAAAAAAATTGGTAGTGAGGGTAGTCTCATAATGGAGAATAGTGTTGAACTTTCTCGTTTCAATGAAATTACGAGGGATGATTTTGGGATGTTCCCTCAATCCGAACTAAATAATAAGGCTAAGCGTTTCTATGAACAGTTAGAGAAAGGTAGTATCATCCACTGTATGAAGGCTCAGTGCATTCCACGTTGTGTATTGCAATTAGATTACTACGTAGTATACCAGATAGTTCTATTTTTCAAGCGTGTATGAATTCTATCATTGGGCATATGAATGAACTTAATCCAATTAAAACTAACTTATCCAAAGAACTTTATACAGTAAAGAAAATGATTTTCAAACTAATTCTTTCATCAGAGAGGACTGATCGTTGTAAGAAAGGTTGCATGTTATTCTATAAGGATAATGCAACTTTAGAGAATTATAAATTTTGTAACCAGCCTCATTATAAGGAACTCATAAATGCCAATAGGAAGAGGAGGATTTCAATTAAGGCGATGCATTACTTACCCATTATATCTAGGTTAAAGAGGTTATATGCATCAATCAGCTCCGCTCCTCATATGAAATGATACATTGAATATAGAAGGCCACCTTGTATTCTACGTCATGTGTCAGGTAGAGAAGCGTGGAAGCATTTTGATGGGGAGTATCTGAAATTTGCTATTGAACCAAGAAACATTATATTGGGATTATGTGTAGATAGTTTCACTTCATTTGTTGTCTCTCCTGCACCATATTATGTTGGCTAATATTCGTTGCGCCGCATAATCTTTCACGCAAATTATATATGAAAAGTCCATATTTATTCCTAATTTGTATTGTTCCAGGTCCACACAATTCGAAAAGTTGGATTGATGTATATATGCATCCTTTGATTGATGAGTTAAAGTTATATAGCTTGGTGATGTGACCATAAAGTCAAAAAGATATTTAAGTATCTTTCACCGGGTACAAGCTTCATACTAAAGAATGATCTTGAGGGCAAGAAAATCACTAATAGTAGGGTGTAGGTAAAATGTGACAAGAATTTTAATTATTATGGTGTGCTTCAGGAGATTTTAGAACTCGAATATAGTGTTGGTTGGTAGAAAAAAAGTAGGTACTCTTTTGATTAAGTGATATGGTCCAACACCTACTAGAGGTACAAAAGTACACTCGGTATAAAATAGTTAAAATTAAGCACGCGAGAGAATATGGACTCTATGATCCATTTATCATTGCACAAAATGTAAATAAATTTATTATGCTCCTTACTTTATATTTGTAATAACATATTGAGTCGTTTTTATGGCATAATACATAAATATACCGTGAAACTTGGCATCAGCTGGTAAGTATGCCCTCCAACTTTGGGTTTGCACATGTAGGCGCCTTAACTTATCTCCACTTTGTCAGTTGAACACTCCAACTTACAAAATGATCACCTTAACTCCAAAATTTATGTATCACGTCAGCATTTGTATTTATGTGTTCAACTTTATACAAATTAAGGAGCCTACTTGTGCACACCCAAAGTTGAAGGCATACTTTCGAGCTGATGCTAAGTTTGAGGGCCTATTTATGTACTATGACTTTTTTATTTTATAATTTATCATGCTTACACTATATAGATGGTGTCTAGAGGTAGCGAATCATTCGAAGAATAAATCTACAAAGAAAAAATATCCTTTGCCGACTACAAGTTACAATACCTCAACTATACCAAATATGAATCATCCACCCCATTCTCCTCATCCTCCTCAGTCGACTTATCGCCACTTGATTTTTTTACTATCTCCCTCCCCCTTCCATCTAACTCATCATGATACTGGCCCTACCTGTAATTTTATGCCCACACTACTATACCATCTTCTTTTTCGGGTTTTCATATTAGTCAGCATGGTGACTCATTATTGAATACATCCCTGGATTATCATGTTAGTCAGCATGATGGTTCATCATCTGTGCCTCCATCGCCGTCCACTCAATTATCGTATGTGTCGTAATCCACTCATAACGTACATAGGCTAGAAATTAGAGGCTCTCACACATCTACATCTCTATCTAGTGGTACTTCCACACCTATTGATTGACACTGTCAGAATGTTGGAGGGGCTGTACAGTGTGATGCTTATCATTGATTGCTTATCGTCCCCTATAAGGACGGGTAAGCAATTCTTATGTTATTTTTAAATTTCTGAATATAGTTTTATATATGTTAAATTTAAGGAAAGTTATTACATATGTTAAATTTAATACATGTTTTTGACATCCTATAAGTCCACGCATGCGGCTGTGAAGTCTATGAAATTATTTATTATATGCCATGGAATTCCTGGAGACAGACACCATACAATGTTAAAGAGGCTATTTCGTACTATTTATTCTAACTAACACTTGAACATTTTTATTAATCTTAAAGACACAGAAATCTTAACAAAACAGTCTCCGATTTGATAACAATAGGTAACTGCTCATAAAAAGTCAGATTGTTTACTTCAGAAATAAGATTAATTACTTGCAACATGTTAAAATATTCTAATATAATGAATATATATAAATTTACTACCAAAACAATACTAATTTCCGTTGGAAATTTCTGATTGAATTTGTCGGTAACTTTTACAAAATTCATAGGAAATTGGCTTGCGACGGACTTTCCGTCGAAAAGCCCTTCCCAACAAGCCAATTTTCGACGAAATGTCAAAGTGACTTTTTTTTGGTTTTTGGGTAGTGATTAGATCCATAATAAATTTAATAGCTTCAGGTTTTATTTAGAAGGTAAATGGCTGCTTACCTTTTTCACTTCCTTTGCCTTTTCAACGTCTTTAACCTTCGCCTGGGATACAATTTCGACTTTCTTTCTACTCCATTTCTCTAAGCGTTGATGAATTTTCTTTGCCTCGATAGCACCTTTTACTGTAACTTCATCTTTCTCAAGTTTCACATCCACAGTATGAACTCCTGGAGCCATGTTAAATTGTCATGTCAGTGTCAAACCAGTGCTGACTGATGAAAATACAGAAAACAAAACCAAGATTCTTGAAAGAAAAACAGGGAAAAGATCCAATTGACCAAATTTCATTTTTTAACCAATAAAGGAAAATGAAATGTTTTGTTTTTCCCCTCCATTATACTTTGAGACTATTCATATTATCTCCATTAGTCAATCATCTCGTACGTTAAAAGAAATTTTACCTCCTATAGCAAAATTTTACACTCTATTTATTATAAATAAAAACCCTTTTAAATTATTATTTTCTATAGCTACATTTTACATTTTACAGCAAAATATGTATTTATGATCACTTCCTACCATTAAATCATTAAATACGCTGTCTAATATATTTCTCTCTCATTCTTTTAGTTTATTCTCTCCAAAAATCACCGCATAGTATCTTTTTCTCTCTCCACTATCTCTCTCCTCTCTCTAGGCGACATGGAGACCTAGCAACTGTCATAGCTGTTTTCAATATTTTTTCCTCCAAATTTCTCTCCCCAGCTCTCTCGTTTATCAGCGCCATTGTCTCCCTCAATTTTCAATATTTTTTGCTCCAAAAAGTTGTGGTAAGTGTTAAAGTTTTTGGATTGAAAACCTACAAGGCCAAATTAGTTGTCTTCGCAAGACGCGCTCGCAAGGTTAAGGCCGGTGATTTTGCCCCCTAGGAATTGGGTACGAGCTTTTGGAAAAGGAAGAAGGCGATATTACAATATTCTTTGATTTTAAAGAAACATTATCAATCATCTAAAAAATGTAATAATAAAAGAATAGAAAAAACCCGGCTATCAGAATCGAACCGATGACCATCGCATTACAAATGCAATGCTCTATCCTCTGAGCTAAGTGGGCCCACATAACAAAAATCTTAAACTCAAGTCCATCAGTTGACCTTGTCAAGGTTACCGAAGAGATGAAGTCGTTCAATGCCTAAACCCTTAATCTAGTGCTTGTATTTTGTTATATTTAGATGTATTTATATGTATTTGAATTCATAAAACAACATTTTTAAATACATTGTTAGTTCATCATTTTGATGTTGTTCATCAATTAGTTATGCATTCAATCTAACTGTATTCATCTTTATTTAAAATAACAATACGGTGAAATACAGTAAAATACTCTCAATACTAATAGAAAATCAATGAATACAACCAATGAAATATAATCAATAAAGCACGTCTGATAAATCTTCTCATTAATTGAATTGATAATGTTGTGTGCTATAATTGATTTAAGTGAGTTATATTATGAGTGTATCCCATTAAATTAGCAGCTTTCAGTTATTAAACAACTGGAGAGACCTGTTATTACGTTGTATTCATGAATATATGGTATGAATACACGTGAATACAACGGCTGACAGCTGGACTGCCCTATTTTTTAGTCAATTTTCGCTACTGCATTCATGAATACAGTAGCTCAAATACATTGAATACATTACCATAACAACTAAAAGGTAGCTATGAAAGTAATTATGTATATGGTAGCTATAGTAAAAGGCAAATGAGTATATTTGAACCTTTTTAAAAAATATTTTGGCATTTGAAATCTATGTCCAGTCCACTCCGGAGGTCCGTTAAGAACAAATACTAACAAATTTAAATGGCAGAATACATAACTGAACCCTTAAACTTGGTCTTTTTTGTCATTTGGATACCTAAACATAGAGTTGTTCCTATCAGGCCCTTCAACTAAATCACATATGTGCCAATTAGACACTTTGTAGACCATCTGAGAAAAACTTTTATAAAAATTAAACGCGTGTATTACAGTTGCCTCTAACACCTTAAAATATTCCACCTTATAGAATTAACCCCCAAAACAAATTGAAACTCATTTCAGAAAATGAAAAACCTGACCGTCGGCTTTGGCGACTTAGTGCCCTGAAAAGCTCACTGAAAATTTCCTCCGTTCAACTTCATCTCACTTCTTCTTGTTTGGATTTCACTGAAATATCACGTTATTCTCTTTATTCCTCGTTTAAGTTGGTGTAGCTTACAAGTGCCGTGTAAAGAGAACAAGCATGCCAAATGAGAATAGTCAAATCCATGTGAACTAAACTTTCTTTTTAAAAAAATTAAGAGGAAAAACGATGGGTTCACGGGAAGAAGAAGAGAAATAGAATGTAGGGTAAAAGTTAGCTTTAATTTGAATAATATATTAGAATATAATAATAATCAACAACCTTTTTCTCATGTTCACACGCCCTTCCCCACGCACTTAATTATGTCACTACAAAGTGTCTAATTGGCACAAATATGATTTAGTTGAAGGGTCTGATAGGAACAACTCTATGTTTAGGTGTTCAAGTGACAAAAAGGGCCAAGTTTAAGGGTCCAGTTATGTATTCTGCCAATTTAAATATTCCGTATAAATTATAATAAAGGGATCAAATTGGACAGCCTTTTCCATTAAAGAATCTTAGAGCTGTCACTTTTCAATACATTGTTTTCATCTTTTTAATAGAAAAACTTTATAAATGTTTTCGTAGCCTTAAAAAGTGCAGGCCACAGTTCAAAATAAAGCTCTATCAAAGTTTTTGCAAATTAATAGCATATTTAGCCAAACTGGAAAAATCAACTTATTTTGAAAAGTGTTTTTCAAAAAAGTATTTTTGGAAAGAAGTTGTTTGTGTTTGGCTAATCAATTTGAAAATCACTTTTGAGTAACAATTTGTGTTTGGTCAAACTTTCAAAAAAGTAATTTTAAATATTCAATTACAAATAAGGACATGAAAAGATTTATTTAATAATTAATATTAAAGTAAATAAATAATTTTAAAAATTTATTATTAAAGACAATAATTAAGTTTTTCATTTTATTTAAGTAAAATATGAAAATAAAAAAGTACTTTAATTCTTTCAGGATGATTTAAATATATCAAAATATTATTCAACAAATATAAAAGCATTTAAAGGTAGCTTGGCCTGCTTTCGCATTAACTCACCATTTGGTGATTTGGTTCGTAGCAGCCCAACTATATTATCCCAGAAGTCACTAATGACAATATATTAGAAAGTTATCATAAGAATAAGAAGAAATATTTATACATTAATATCCTAAGTATTAGATTTAGAATAATTAAGGTTATTTTGGTATATACAACATTTTGCTAAGGGTATTTTTGGTAAGAAAAAGTTAAAACTGCCTGTGCTTTTGAGAAAAAGTTACTACTTTTTTCTGCTTTCCAAAAAGTGCTTCTGTTTTATTCCGAAAATTACTTTTTTTTTGCCAAATAAACTTGGCCAAACACTTCAAGTTTAAAAAATAGTATTTTTAAGAAAAAAAAAACACTTTTGGACTTGGAAGAAGGCCAGACAAGCTATTAACACGACACAAATCCTTTTTGACTCAGGTAAAACTAGTTGTTATTTTGGCAAAAGTATCAGATCAATTGGCTCTCTTTCTCCCTTTCAGAATTAGACAAGATACAACACGACACAAATCCTATTTGAACCTATTGGTCCTAGTATTATAGACGATTGAACGGCTGCCCGCTAGCGCTAGCGATCATCCCTTGCTTGGTTTTCCCGCGAGCGAAGGTTATATACGAGTGATATTATTTTGTGCCTCACACAACTGACACTAGTTGTGTGAGGCTTCTTTTTATCTCACATATTTGTGGACCCATATCTTACTCATTGGGTCCATAAAATTCTGGGATCCACACAGTCGTATGAGGCACAAAATAAAATTTTTCCTAATATACAATTTTCTTCTTCTTGATCGGAGCTCTATCTCTCATTCAGCCCTACTAAGCTTCCTTCAAAACAGGAGTCCATAGGGGTGAATACTCGGATTGGACATGAAAATCCCCTCGGCAGTACCAAATAACAAAATTTGAAAAATAAAGAAATAAGTAAGTTAAAGTGTTAAGTACCTTGGGTCCTCAATAGAGGTTTTCTAATATCATGAGCACATTTTGGGCAGTGGAGACGAACTTTGTAAACTGCAGTGATTACCTCTATCTTTTTCTCTTCTTTAGACATGGCAACCCCTCAGCATTTACTAAAAAGAAGAGATCAGAATAGGGATTGTTCATTCCTTTGATTTCGTTAAAGTACTTGGCTGAAATTGGTTGGTGGGAATTAGCAGCCGGTGGTTTACTAATATGTGGAAACTTGATGCATGAAAATTTGAATTTAGTTAGTAGGTTATAATCTTTTGTACCTAAAATGGTCATAGGAAACAACAAGATTAATTTGACATCTTACTTTTTTCACCTCCTTTTTCAGTTTGTTTTTTATTTTTTTATTTTTTTTATATAGCTAT